TTAAAAACAATGAGAGCAGGATTATTTTACAATATCTTGTACAATCCGTAGGAAGATACAGAAAATATCTTGTCTCCCTGTAGACCAGAATGAGGAAAAAGTGAAAAGAGGCATTTGCAAATTAAATTATAATTGGTAGGTATAGACTGAACAGCTTTAAAATTGTAGTTCAAACTGTATTAAAATGATGAATGTCTTTGCAAATTGAATTTAATATTCTACTGTCATTAGTACTTAAATATTAGATAAGTAAATTTGTTCATTTAAATGTAATAATTGTAAAAGGGATTTTAGGTCTTATGATTGACAGTGTAAAATGTTACCAGTTTTTCTGAATTGTCACATATTTTGAAATGCTAATGTTCAACTGTCTGTAAGCCTGAAGTCCTAAATTATTCTGTGCTGAACTTATGCCTTAAATCCAAATTGGTGTCACAGAAACTTAAAAAGGGTAATGATAATTCTGTGATATAGCAGTATATCTCAAAGGAATAGTATTTTTTAAATCTTTTTATGTACAACATTTTGAGTCTAAGGCAGGCTTCTTTCCTAATCAGATTTTACTTCTTGTTTTTCTTGTTTCTGGAGTTTTAACAACTTCCTAACATTTACAAATTATTAATGAATCAAATCATTTACATAATACAATTAAAATGTGATAATTTCTTAAAGTAAGGGTATTAGAATATAAATTCCTGTCTAGATAAATAGGAAGAATATTGCCCAGAAATAAAATATATCTGTGTACTTTTATGTGGTGTACAAAACATACGTATACCAAGCAACAAAATCACATTCCATTTAATTTTGTAATGGAAGTATAAGACCAAGGACTGACATAAAAAATATGATTTGCATTTGAAAAATAGATATTTAAAAGATGAACAGATATAGTGGTTTAATTACCTAAGTAACCGCATGACCAACACTTAGTGAGATTCCTGGGCCTTACCATGCATTATCTTTCCAGCATGCAAACCTTATTTACTAAATGTAATAGCTCCACTCACATGCATATACAAATGTAAAGTTAACTAATTAAGCCTAACAAAACAATTTTATTTCTTTAAAAAGACGTAATGGAGACGTGTATACAATTTTTGATTGTGCTAATAGCCTCCAGTCTTCTACCCATTGTCCAGTATGTTGATGAATTCTAATTGCTCATGAGTTTCAGGAGAAAAATAAAAAAAACCCCTCTTTTAGGAAGTAATTTGAACAATATAACAACAAATGTTGCTTCAGAGGTCTATAAAGACATCACTGAAATCTTTGCTACATCTAGAGCTCATTTGAGGTTATTACATTGTACTTCATCTACCCCATTTCTCCAGGCATATAAAGAATCTTCAGTTTCCCTTTGGTACGTGTTTATTAGGCTTAATGTATAAGTGATGGAAACTCACAGGGAAAATCCTATTCCTTGTAATGCCAATGACAACATCGTAATAAAGCCAATGGAGTCAAATATCAATTGTAGAGGTTCTAACAACTTTACCTGGTTAGAAGCAGCAGCTGAATGGAAGCTGAATGTTTGAAAGCTATCTTAGGTTTAGATGTTTTACAAGAACTAGATCAACTAGCATGTTGTAAAACTTTGATCAACTAGCAACTGAGGTAGGAATATCCATTTTTATATGTTCTGAGAAACTGTAGCAGTAATTTTTGCCACCACAGTCCCATTAGGTTGTATGGTATCCTCATTAATAGTTCTGTATATTTATTTTACATTTAACATATTTGTAGAGTCATTTTCTAGTGAATATTTTATTTTTGTATCATTTTAATTATAATACATGTTAAGTGAGCTGTAGTACAAGCAAAATAAACCTTACTGAGTGTATGTTTCCAACAGAATACATTGAAAATATATGCAGTGTACTAAAAAACTACTTGTGTGAAAAGTATTGCAAGCACTGCAGTTTCTGTTAGTTTCTGTTTTCAAAAACAGTCTGAAAGGCAAGAAAAAAAATCTGGGTTTAAAGTAGTTTAATTTGTCAAACAATTTTTTCATCTTATTCATGTTTCACTACCATTTTGCTCTACTGATTCCTTTCATGCATGCCGTACTTGCTGTCATCTCTCTGCTTTCTTCCTGAAGAATGTGTGCATAGTGTAAATGTAATGTCCCTCAGCATCTTTCAAACACAGTGTCAGGAATTGTATATAACTTTGTGAGTCTTTCATCTGTTGTTCAAAGTTCATCTTAGTTTATTCAACTTTTGTCTTCATTTTTGTAATAAAGAAAACTGACTTAAAGCATTTCTATCTGTATTTTCTTTATTACTGATGAATGTTGGTTTTCTGGTATTACCTGCATTAAGTATTTTGTAACTGAAGAGATTTTTTTAACATTGTGTTGGTATTTTTGTTTCAGTAATAAACCCCAGTGTTTTCTTCAATAATAAATATAAAAAATCCCACACAAAACCAACAAAGAAATCATTAATTAATCATTAATTCCTCAGTTCTTAGTTTTGTTCATATTAGGTGGCTGCCATGCTACTCCTCTAATGGGGCAAGTAGTGAAATGGCTGTATAAATATGCAGCCTGAGCACTAGATCCATACTGATTTAATCTTCCTGCTTGAAACAATTGTATCCGAAAAGTTAAATGTTTTAATACTGGGGAGAACTATTATGGTACAAGACACTTTTATAGTAAGTACAACTCTGCTGAGACTTGCAGTTGCACCAATGCAACTATTTCAAGTAAAAACATGCACCATGTACTGGCAGCACTCATAATATTAAACTTCTCTTTTTGTAGCTAATGCTATAAAATAAGTACACATTTGAAATATATTATCTCAAGTAATACTTCTCAACACTCTTCTGTTTGCATTTACATATGTCTTAAAGAGCTAAAAGGAAGTGCTGTCAAATCTGAAATATTTTATCAACTCAAATACAGTCCCAGCATAGTTTGACTCTTTTTTCAAGTCTCCTGACTACAGTACTCTGGTTACAGCTGTCACCCAGTATAAAGATGCAAAAATTTCTCAGGTCTCTGTGGAATGTTCACAGTGTGATTTTGAATTCTGCTAAATAACACAGTTAAAATAATTTACTCTTTTATGTTACAGCAGTATTGAAACCACACATAAGTGTATGTGTTCAGTCCCCATATCAATCTTAATTAACCTGCACAGGTTCCTAGAAATTCCTCCAAGAGTCATGTTCAGTAAATCTGCTGTCAGTTTGAATGAGGGAAACCGGAACACAGAAACATACTCATTTCCCCAAGGCCTTCTAAAACCTGTATGCAGAGCCACAAACTCCACAAAGCTGCCATTGTTGTGCAGCCTCCTCCCCCACCCCAATGCCCAGGAGGGCTGGGATCTTTCTGCTTGCTTTTCTTTGGGGCTTCCCACAGAAGTAGGCAATGGTACTTTACCACAGACTGAGTAAATGCATGAAAAAAGGGGCAGTAGCTACCTGATAACTCTTCAGGCACATTAGAATTGCTTCCAAAGGCTGCTTAGGGATAGTTTGATGATGGCAGGAATAATTTTTAAAAACTTTGACTAAAAAAATAGTAAACCACAACTCCAAAGAATATTTTCAGAACCCAGCACACTTTTTCTAGTTATTACAGCCTACTTTCCTTTCCCTTCTTATTCTTCAGTGAACATGGACAAGGCATTGTTGACAGGAACTGTCAGGCTGCTGTTTACAACATTCGTTTTATCTAGCTATTTCATTTATGCCTTGTTTAAGACACCTTCATGTGAAAAATACTGTAAAGGGCCATTAGTGCAAATGAGATCTGAAGTCCTACTTACTCAGCACCCAGAAAACCATAACAAGAGGAATTTTACTATAAAATTTAGAGGAAAAAAATGTGATTTCAGAAAACTTGTTGCCAATAGGATCTCTGCCATAATAAATAGCTCCCTTATTCACATAAGTATCAGAAAAGCATAGCATTTCTGATAGATATCATTTTAGGCATGCTTATTTCAGTAGGTCACATCTCTGTAACTGATAATCCTGGTGGCACCACAGACTTCCCTGACTGTGAATGCCCATCCTTCCTGTGCATTATTGTCTGTAGTATACAGCTTCTTCTTTATGGCTTCTCTTGCTGCCAGTGAAACAGTTGAAACTGCTCTGCAATCAGGCTCAGATTTCGTTGGAGATGGTAGACAATGAAGATGTGTCATTTATGGGTAGAAGAAAGTTAGAGGAAATCTTCTGTTTAGTTAGTTACATCAGGATCAATAACACTACCCCGTTATTTTTCAAAGCTGTGTGTCAAGCATATCTGTCAGAACATATTACTCAGTCATGCAGTACAGAGCACATATTCTCATATGCTTGTACAGTGCCCTTCAGCAGTGTCTGTCCTAGCAGAAAGTTATAGGGAAAATCACTGAGGAAGAAAAAGCATTAAAATTAATGTCGATTATAAACTTGTTAGCATCTTTTTGTATTAAGGAATGGGATAGAAGAGAACAGTACTTACTGTCATGGTCTCTTGCATCATATGTTCCCCCAGCAAATATTGCATAGAATCATCATTTTTTAACAGTTGGTGCTGCAGCTGTATTGATTTTTTATTTCATTTGAAGGTAAACATGTAGCTGCTGGGCACTTACCTGGCTCAAGGACCAAGTTTTCTTGGTTTAAATTGCTAAAAGCAGCTCACAGAGGTTTGGCTATGGCAGCCAAATTATTGGAGCAAATTTGGGTAGCAGGAAGGGATCGTTGGTTGTTTTCTCCTTTTTACCTGCCATCATTTTTATCTCAGTAAGGAACAGGAGTGCTTAGTAATGGGAAGGTCTTGTACAAAGCTAAGAAATGCTTCCTCTTCTAATACAGTCTTCTCACGAAAAAAAGCTAGGTACATGCTACTTTCACATGCTACCTAAGATAGGGTTCACTCTGGGTACCTGTAAGATTTGGTAGGTGTCCTTGCATCCTGATCAGCCACAGCAAGGGAGCTGGAGAACATAACAGCTCCATTTAAACCCCTCTTAGACATTTCATGTCGGAAAATGAAGGAGGAAGATGCTTTCAGAGACAGTGAGCAAAGCTGCGCAAGTCCCACACTTCAGGTATGTCCATTTTCAATACAAGAAAATGTAAAGCATTAAAAGTCAATGAAATACCAGACAATTATTTATGAAAGAGGGATGACTTTTTTAGCTGCTATCAATTGAGAAATTATTTCTACTTCTTACGTAAAAATTTGAATGTACTTACATCCCCAAAGAAAATTAAAAAAAAACCAGGAGCATTTCAAAGCATCTGGAAACAATTGAGTAATTGCAGTGATTAAAATGAAGAACTGTACTTTGAGTATATGAAATACCCTGCCTCCAACACCCACGTCATAGTATTTGTATACATTTTTATAACTGGCTGAACCCATATTGCAGATGTATGTTACCGCTCTGGAATTCTGAAACATTTCCAGTAAATCTTTCCGAGTTTGCCATTGTTTTTATGATTATATGCTTGTTGTTTGGATGTGTGTCCTCTTTCTTATTCCCTTCTCCAGATCTGTAGCTTAGCAGTGCTTGTTCTAGCAATGGTTTTGGCCTCCCACCGTTATAATATTAACTGGTAGAAAAACCCTGTAGAGCTGTTTAACTTCTCGGTGATACATTATGATTGTTTGGATGCTCATCAGTGGATACTAATTTTGAAGATCTACGTTTTCCATCTTTTTAGAGGTTTTGAATAAGTATATACATCTTGTAAGCCTTTGATTCTAAGTTCCAGATCAGATAGATACAAAATCAAAGACAATTGTCCATAAACAGAACAGAAATAACCATCATGGTTGGACAACCTTTTTAAGACTCAGTACAACAGGGCAGTTCAAGAAGATGATAAACAAGAGTATGCTTTTTTCTGTCAGTACCCAGTCCAATATTTCCAACTTCATTCTCTAGCTCATAATTTTCAGCTACTTTAGCTCCAGAATAGTTCCTACTTTAGCTTCAGACTGACCTGAAAGAAAGGACAAACTTATGCATAATATCCTTGCACATTCATTCTCACCAATTCCAATGTAACTGGCAGGGTCTACTGTATAAGTGTAGGAAAGTGGGTTTTATCATTGCTTTTTTTTTTCTTACAAATGTAAATGACTGTAAAAGGTTAAGGGCCATGTAGAATCATCCATCTTTCATCTTTCCTTTAATACATGCCTTCAAAGGAGGAGGGGAAAGGAAGAAAGGCATGAAACAGTGCTAGCTTGGGCTTGTTTTTTTTCAACAAAACTTAGAATCATTGAACGGTTGAGGTTGGAAGGGACCCCAGGAGGTCATATTGTCCAAACCCACTGCTCAAGCAGAGTACTTATTATAAACCTTGCAGTTACTATTTTATTAGATCAGCAGGTGAATATACACAATGTGATACTGTAAGAGTACAAAGAAATTCTGTCACATCATTCATGTGTTACATTCATGTAACATCAGGCCAAATATATGAATGTTGTGTATGAAGTTTCTGTCTCTTTGTGCAGAAACAATAGCTTTAGTTTTGCAGGTACAAAGTGTACCTGTACACTCTGTGTACATATGTAGATGGCGTGTTTCTCTCTATACGTGCTTCCTTTTAGAGTATCTAATATAGACTCCTTAAAGGAATTAACTCTGTATTTACATTTGAAGGACCAGTTAGTTTTCTTGACTGGGAAATTCTTTTCTACTTGCCAAAGCTCTTCATTGCTCTTTCCTATTCAAATAATGATTTGTGCAAAAAGTTCAATTATTGTAACAGAAGTTAGAAATGCAACCTACTCAATAAAAGAGAACTTCAAAATTGCCAACACTTTCCATGACATTTATAAAAACTTGCTTCAATTCTTTTTATTGCATTTCTGAAAATTTTGTGTATTTCCATAAGTATTCATTGATAAACACTTATTTGAAGAAGTGGAAGAATGAAGTGATATTGTTTAAAGTTGGCAGTTTCCTTCATTATCATGACAAGGTATATTATATTATTTATGCCACATTTTTATAGCACAAAGCATGGCATTTTAAATGGGGCATATTTTTGAAAAATTATAATTAAAACTCATTCATAACTATGGAACTTAAACATTTTTGGTTTTCAAGCAGTGTTTTAAAAGACTTCACTATGACTAGATTACTAAAGTGTACAGTAAACCTTTTTGCAAAAATTATTAATAACTGATTCTTTAACATTGATTTTTAATGATTTAAAATAAGTGTGTTTTCAACTGGGGAAAAAAGGTACATAATGTATAAATACTTTATTGTTGTAGAGCACAAAGTAGAACTAGTATTTTGAGTCCATTTGGTACATACTGGAACACTGTAAAAAAACCAAACCAACCAAACCAAACCGAAAGGATTTAAAATCATTGCTGCTTATAATGTATTTTCTGTATCATTTAAAAATTGTAAAGTTGACTTCAATTGAGGGGAAAACATTTTGTTAACAAAGATGTTTGCAAAGTTGTTTGAAAGGCTATATGTAGTATGACATTAGGTTTTCATCCAGTCACAGAATTAGTACTTCTATTGTTGTTATAAGATATTAAGACAAAATTTCCCAGTTTTGGTATCGAAGATATATTAGGATACGATTTTTGAAACCAGGCAGGACAGGCCTAAATCTGCTTCAGTATTTATTGACATTAGTTTTACAACTGACTTCTACAGGAGCAGATAAACTACTACAAAGTTTAAGAACAGAAGTCAAAGATAAAGAAAAAATTGTATGTATTTTAAGTAATATTAAAAGTAAACCATAACATATACTTTTAAAACACAAAACAGTCCAATTTCTGCCTGTCTTCAGAAGAAGAAAGTACATAAAGAGCCTAAGACAGGTGAGAAGGCTGATGACAGCAATGCCTCTCACCCCACCACGGGATGCAGCCACATTCCAGTCACTCTTTGGGGTGTGGGAGATAAAGGAAAGAAAGCTCGTAAAAGTGTTGGCAATCATAAGAAATCATACTTTCAAACATCGTGAAACAGAAACTTGTATGAACAAATGGGTTGCAAGGAGGAAAAATAGGACTTGGGACATACAGGGCAGTAGTAAGGATGGAGAATGCTGATGAAAAGGAGATTATCAATCATAAAGAGATATAAAGATATGCAGTACTCAAATAATTAGGTCTCAGATGTCTCAACAATACCAAGATTAAAATTAAAGTCTTCCTCAGAACTATTGCAAATAAATATGTATATCATTGTACAAAGGAGCAATATTGTTACTATAAACATTTTCTTCACTTGCCAGTGAAAATATTGCGTAGGCTTTTCTGTCACTAAATCATTCGGGCTGTGAAGCATGCCACATCACAATGTTCCAGTGATACTGGAAGTGAAAAATATACGTTAACACTGAATTACAAAAAAGGAAAAAAAACCCACCCTAAAAATACAACATCAACACAGCCATCCAAAATCTGTTTAAAATATGGATCATACTACCCTATTCTCTTCCACATTCTGTTTAGTGGTTAGAAAGGGATATGGAGGAAAGCTTGGCTCTGTGAGGTCTCTAAAACTGGACTCCAGAATTTACTGATATTATATCTGTTGAAATGTAAGAGCTTTTCAATAAACTGAATTAAATATTTATGTATTCCTGACAATTCAGACTGGTAAACACAAATGACGTTTACACAGGAAGTCACGAAATAGATGGGTGGTTGTATGGGTAAAGTAAGTTTTGGAAGATATAGCAGAAATTATAATATTTAAATAGGGATGTTGATTTTAAAAACAAGAAAATTGTTTCATGTGAGATGTTAACTTCCAGTATTTTTTTACAGGGCATATTCATAAATGATACATCATTTCATTGCTGTGCCATTTTTTTTAGAATCATAGGATGGTTAGGGTTGGAAAGGCCCTTTAGATGGTCTAGTCACAACCCCCCTGCCATGAGCAGGGACATCTCACACTAGACCATGTTGCCCAAGGCTCTGTCCAACCTGGCCTTGAGCACTGCCAGGGCTGGAGCATTTACCACTTCTTTGGGCAACCTGTTCCAGTGCCTCACCACCCCCACAGTAAAGAACTTATATGTAACGTGAACTTCCCCTGTTTAAGTTTAAACCCATAAGCCCATGAACAATATTGTTATTTATATAGTGTTTTTTTAAGTCTTCTGAAGAAAGAAACATAACTTAAAGCAGTATCTGTCTGTTTATCTGCCTATCCATCCATGTGAATAGATACATTGGATTCTAGCTTACCACATAATAGCATTCTGAAGAACAGTTCTATAATAATACAACCCATATAATAAACAATGAAAGCAATTACCTAAGAAGTCAAATGTTCCCCTTCTTTTGAAATAAGTTTTTCATTTAAGAGTTCTATCACATAGACTAACAAAACATGTATTTCTGTTATTATGCAGTGATTTAGAAGTCCTCAGGAAAATGATTTTCAAATTACAATTGAAAGGGTAAATAGACATGTTTTTAAAGTTAATTAAGCAGAAATATGAAAGCTTAAATTATATTCTTAATTGGAAAATAGTCCCCAGTGTATCAGGGAGGTGGAAGAATAAAAAGAGAAAAATGACAGTAGGGGCCCCATTAAAATAGTTGTTGTATTACATTGTATTATGTTTTGGTGTTTGTTACAACATTATTCAAGTAATCTCTCAGAAAATCTTGCTCCTATTCTGGCAACAGGTATAGATACAGCTGCAAATGGAAATGCATCACTGCACTGCTGACTCATGCATCACTCCGAGGCATGGTAACACTAAGTAAAGCAATCAGCATGCAAAAAAAACAGTTCCATTCCCCTGAGGAGTTTGCTCAGAACATAGAATCACACAAGGCAATTGTCACTAGCCAGTTTCTAAGCTAGGCTGAGACCTTCTTGAATTAGCTGGGTGGATGAACTTTTAGTGAGACCTTTTTTATTGATCAGATACCAGTCTTCTCCTATATTAGGGTCATCTGAGTTTGTAAGCATGACAGTTGTTCTGAGAATCAAACTATTCAAAACAGTCTGTAGCATTACTGTCTGTTATGTAAATGTCAGTGAGTCAAAACAAAGTATTTTTTCCGAGCTGTGCAATGAAGTAGAATTAGCTCAGCATCAGCTTTCATAATAAAAATACAGTAAACAAGATCAGGTGGGGAATATGTTTATTTTGACGTGTATGAATGTATTTTCAATGTGCAAGACTATACAAAACGAGGTCCTAACCCTATAATCATTTAATAATATCCATAGTTTTCCTCATATTAATTTATTTAAGACTAAGTGTGTGCAACTGTTGTCAGATTAAATAGCTTTAATTAACTTCTTTTAAGACTTTTTCATTCCATTTTAATTCAGAAAATGACCTTTACAAGAATAAACACTGTTTTGGCACTCTCTTAAAACTTTCGTAGTTCTGCTTAGCACCCCTGATAATTAATTTGATTTGAAAAGTGAAAAATGACAGCTTATATCAGCTATTATTTTGAACATTTAAAATGTTTTTCTTAGACTGCATGCTGATACTCGCAGTCTTGGAATGTTAGGATGTGATGGTTTTTTGTTATTAAATAATGTTATTTATGCTATGTGACCATATTGGAATTTTGGCATTGGGAAAATACTATATGGAAGTTGGGGGTTTTTTTGTGATTTTTTAATCAGGTTGTATACATCCCTAATCTTCAGGACTGTTTATTTCCATTAATTTCTGAATGGTTCTTTTCTAAACATCCTTTAGCCTCCTGGCCAACAGCTTAAAAGCTTCATAAGATGCTGTTGTTTGGGTTGAATTTTAGTAATAATTTTTCATTTTCTTTCCTTTAAGACACTCTTTTTAATGGTCTTGGACTTGGTGCTGTCATTGGCCTGGGAGTGGCAGCCCTTTTGTTAATCCTGGTTGTGACTGATGTTACCTGCTTCTTTGTACGACAATGTGGATTGCTAATGTGCATCACCAGGAGAATCTGTGGGAAAAAAGGTGGTTCAAGTGGAAAAAGCAAAGAACTTGAAGAAGGAAAGGCCGCTTACTTGTGAGTATTAATCACATATTTTGGAAACTTCATTAAAAGAAAGTTGTCTGTCCAACTTACATTAACTTCATGGCTATTTTGTGGCATGGCAAAGGGAATAAATAAAACATTTCTATGACGTGGAAAAGTGTTCCTCTGAAATGTATAGGATTGTTTGTGGTCCACTGTTGCCTTAAAAGAAAAATGGGCCCAAAAAGTCATTTACAATACCTCGCTTTAAGATAGCATTTTTGTGCAGCTTGACACAAGGGAAATCAATTGCATTTCAGTAAGTTATAGGCACATCTTCGGTCCATGGGGAACAGATCATTGTAACTCCGTTTCTACAAATTCGTCTTTGAGCTGCTAATACCCAAAACCTCAGCATATAGTTGTGGTAGTGCCAGTAAATCTGGGAGTGAAGGACATAGTATTGTAGAAAATCCGTAAAGGAGTTTTTCTTCTCAGATGGAAAATCTTGTTTCTTGCCTGTAGACTTTAAGAATGAAAAGCATTGTTGATTTTTAAAAACAGGAGTGCTGAGTTGGATGTGAGTGAAATGCTCGGGAGCGTTATTGTTCTTCATAGTAACAGTCAACGATTGCTGAACATAACTGGGGAATAAACAGTCCTGATTCTCACAAATACCCATGTAATGGCTACTTCATCAGACAAATGTGAATGAACTGATTATTTACGTGTGACTATGTTCCCTTAAATGATAAAAGCGGATAGTGAGATCTCTGGCAAAATGGTTCAAGTACTGATTGCATAAAATAATGGTACTTTGAAGACCCAAAGTTTACAGGGTTTTCCAAAGGTAAGCGGAAAGAGGATTACTTACAGTCTTCCATTTTAGGCAGTTCCATTTTTTTACTTAAGAAATGCTTAATTTCCTCATTATCTTCATCTCATAGATTTCTTATGCATACACTGTAATATTTGCTATCTTTGTGTGGTTTAAGTAACATTTACTGGTCCAATTCCTGGGTGCTGTAGCTCTCCTAGTAGTCAGGCCTTGCAGATCAGAGTTTGCAGCCCTTATTATTAATAGCTGTACCGAGCTTCTTTGCTGTTGGTAGTGGAGGTGTAAATGTATTTTCTGGTTTTAGTTCTGACACTTGGGATTCAAGAGACTCTGTCTTTTCTAGGTAATCATTTCTTAGTTGGGTTCTCAACCCTTTGGAAACAGCTCCATGGAACAAAACCAGATGTAAGGAGGCACAGAGCATTTACATCAAATAATGCTTCTAAATAGAAATTATGTCATAAAATAGATGTTTCCTAATTCTCCACAGTTTACAGAAAGAGAAGAAAGTATTTTTTTCTGTAGTGTGAAGCCAGCATGTCCAGGTCAATAGAATCAAGATGTGAAGCTTCTGACTGACTCAGCTGTTCTTTCCTATTGAGCACAGCACTTCAGTTTATGCTTTAATTTCCATTCAAGAAGTGACCAAGTACAAATTGGTGTACATAACCTCCTGAATGGGAAGACCTTAGGGAGATAAAGCTGCAAATGTCACTTGACAGTAGTTTATACCTTGCTCTCTGCATCTCATACCCAAGTGCCATTCCATGCTGTTCCAGAAAAGCATAAAGCTGGTCACTTAATGTTAATTCCTTCATGACACTTGTTCTGCAAGAACAACTACCATAATTAATTATATTTCTTTCCTTGTTGGGGTGATCTTCAGTCAATCTATCTTAAAATTTGGGACTGTTCTTGTTTTAGCCTGTAATCTACATAAGTAAACTGTGAGGCTGAAATTTCAAGACAGGCTTGAAGCGTCAGAATTTGAACTTATTTCATACAAACTGCTGTTCCCTAAAAGCCACTGACATTTCCATGTTTTATATATGTCAGTTTACATTCTGAATCTCTGAGTGGGTTTATGGCAGGGTTGTTTGTTACATTTTGATTGTAGTGTGTGTGTGTATATATATATATATATAGTTAGTTAGTAATCATGTTCCATATATAATGAATGGAGATGATACAATGCATGTAACATACAAACATCTGAAATAAAAGTTACATAATGCATTTCCTACTGATCACTTCCCCTTTGGTGGAATTTTTAAGTGTTTTGCAGTACTTCAGTTTGCAAATAATGTCTCTATTAAGCTTTGGCCATGCAATAATGTATGTTTGTCTGTAAAACTGTAGAAGTACAAACAAACCAACCTGAACTTCCCATTCCCTCCACCTACTACAGTCCATAATCTTTTGACAGATGTGAGGTAACCATGACAGTTTTGTGCCTCATCAGCAGAAATGAGCATTGTAACCGTTTGTGTGTCTTAAAGTAGAATTTCACTTGCAGAAGTGAATAAGCACACACAGGGTTGGGTTTGGTGTTATTTTGGAGTTTGGTTTTTTTTCAGAACCAGAATCTTTGAGACTTCTTGCCTACAGATTTGTCTGTGCCAGACTTTTTTTAACCTACAAAAATTTTCCTTTAGGATACCTCCCAGAGGACAGTAGAGTTTTCCAGCTACATTCTGACAAGATGGATTTTTATAGTTGTAACAGCCTGTTTAACAATTATCTTCTCATAAGCAATATGCAAATGTGAGATATGAATTGGACAAGGGTTTAATTAGGTCTTTGCTATGGCACACAGCAGTCTGACTTCTCTCTAGAATATCACAGGTCCAGAAAATAGTCTGTTCAATATAGAAGTGATTATTCATCTGTAACTCAGTTACCCTGTATTTCCAGACTGCAGCTGATGAAGTTCCAGGATACAATTCCTGATATGATGACAGGAATAGGGATGAAATATTTACATGGAAAGAAGTTTTTATTTAGAAATATCAAATATATCTTGGGTATCCTTTGATCTGCCTTTTGAGACTAAAATTATATGCAAGTTAATTAGTACTAATATTATTAATACTTCTGTAGCAATGAGCAGCTATTTCCATATCATGGCCATATTATTGAGAGCAGAGAAGGACTTGGGGGTACTGGTGAATGAAAAGGTGGACATAACCCAGCAGTGTGCGCTTGCAGCCCAGAAAGCCAACCATGTCCTGGGCTGCATCAAAAGGAAGCATGAGCTACGGGTTTGAGGGAGGTGATTCTCTCCCTCTACTCTGTTCTTGAGAGTCCACCTGCAGTACTGCATTCAGCTCTGGGGCCCCCAGCACAAGAGGGACATGGACCTGTTGAAGCAAGTCCTGAGGATGGCCACAAAAATTATAAGAGGGCTGGAGCACCTCTCATATGAAGGTAGGCAGAGAGAGCTGGGGTTGTTCAGCTCGGAGAAGAGAAAGTTCCAGGGAGACCTTATAGCAGCCTTCCAGTACCTAAAGGGGGCTTATAAGAAAGATGGAGCAGACTTTTTATCAGGGCCTGTTGAGATAAGACAGGGGGTAATGGTTTTAAAGTGGAAGAGCATAGATTTACATTGATCATAAGGAAGAACTTTTTTACTACGAGGGTGGTGAAACACTGGAAGAGGTTGCCCAGAGAGGTTAGGTGCCCCATCCCTGGATATGAGGTTGGATGGAGCTCTGAGCAACCTGATGTAGTTGAAGATGTCCCTGCTTATTGCAGTCCTAGGTTGGACTAGATGACCTTTAAAAGTCCCTTCCAACCCAAACCTTTTGTTGATGATTTTCAACAAAAGCATAATGACAATACTGCTTCATCTTCCAATTCATTGTCCAATTAGCACAAAAGTTATTCTTTTATTTACATGTGAAACACTAGCATTAGTTCCTAAAGTGGGGGAAATAGGACATAGAAACAAAGTGTTTCTTCTACTAGTGCATGCAGAAGGAGCTAGATTCTTGTTGCACAAGGGCTCTTTACCCTGCTTTAGCAGCTGGGATTGTCACAATCTTAGGACATTAAAATAGAGTTCTGCAGTGTGTATACTAACATAAAGGCTCTTTATACTTCCTGAAAAGTTCAAGCTAACTAGGCATCAAGTTCTATATTTATTATACTAGGTTAGCAAAGTTTACATCTGTTGCCATGAAGAGGCCATCATCTGATTATTTAGTCATAAACAAAATGCTCTTTTGAGATGCTAATCCATGATGTTTGTGGAGTTAGGCAAGTAACCATGGATACAGGCTGCTTTGAAGACTTCAAGGAATTGGGAACATGCTGTTAAATGTGTCTTGGTGGTGTTAGTCACTGATAATTAGTTCTGCCTTTTCTTTGCTGACTTTTGAGAGAAAGGATCTTGGTAATTAGTTATATGCAATGTATGTGGTTAATATGATGATACAAGACTAAGACTTTTTTAATATTTTTAGGAAGGATGGATCGAAAGAGCCAATAGTGGAAATGAGAACAGAGGATGAAAGAATTACCAATCATGAAGATGGGAGTCCTGTAAATGAGCCAAATGAGACAACTCCCCTCACAGAACCAGAGTAAGTAGCCTGACATTCCCTGGAGTTTCACACAAGCTCCTCCTGGCTGCAGGGGTGGAGTGGGCTTCACACTTTCTGAGAGGGAGATAAACAGCATCAGCAGAATGGTGTGCTACAGCAATGCAGTGTACAGGTGTACAACCACATCTGGGCATTATCCAGCCTTGGGATGGCAACACCCTGATAGCAGCAATTCTGCAGTGTCTTTACACTACGACCTGCTTGGAGATTAGCGAGTATACAGCTCTTCTGACCCTTCAGTGGTGGCTGAGTAGGAGTACGAGGATTTTTTTAGTCAGGCGCAGCTGATCTTTACCACCATCCCAGCAGTTATCAACCGCTATGCAGGAATAATACCCTGATTCTCAAGAATAGCCTTAGACTGAGCCACACACACATCCCTACACACCCCCTGTACGTAGGACACAATGATCCCATGCTCCAGAAACCCAGCTCCTTACGGGGTGGTCCCTTCCTGCTTTTATTCATGGGACTGAGAGCTTAGCTCAGTGTTTAGGTCCATGTGGTGCAACTGGATTAATAATACTGAAGGGCAGCCACTTTGCTTGTTTCCCTCATGCCCTCTTCCTACCCCTGCAAGCTGTTCTCAGCACAGAAACAACAGCAGTTCTTGCCAAGGCTCGCAGGCTTTGGCTGCCTCCTGAGTCACAGGGACCAGCCGTGGGCTTGGGGATCCCATGTGCTGGTGGTCAGGTCCTCTCCTCCGTTTTGCTGCTGCAGCCCCTGGAACAGATTAAACTGAGTGGCTGGTGTTTGTACCTGAATAATACTTCTCAAAACTTCTGTTCAGGATAAAGTAGCATTTGTAATAGGGTACAAGCAAGCTGGTATTTTCCTAAGCTTACTATTGCAATGAAAGTTTCTGATAGGCTTTTATTCCCTGAAAATTCAGTTCAAAGAGAAACCAGTATTTCAACAAAGGTGTTGACAGCACCATTCCTACTATAGAGTGCCCACCTAGTGGTATTAAAGGACATAAAATGATTGCTCAAGAGTTTCATTTCTGGGCCTCAAAAGTTGATTGATTTGAAATTATTAAAGTAAGCTCTTAGTTTCCTTGGTTTGAGCCCAAAGCTTTTCATGTGTTGTGAAAATCTCCTACCTCGTGAGAACTTAAAGCTATCAGAGCAACAAAGACATATCTATTGTCAGTATAGAATCATGAAGTCATAGAATGATTTGGGTTGGAAAGGACCTTAAAGATCATCTAGTTCCAACCCCCTGCCATGGGCAGGAACACCTTCCACTAAACGAGGTTTCTCAAAGCCCCATCCAACCTGGCCTGGAACATTTACAGGGCTAGGGCAACCAGAACTTCTCTGGGTAACCTGTGCCAGTGTCTCACCACCCTCATAGTGAAGAATTTCTTCTTAATATCTAATCTAAATCTTCCCTCTTGTCGTGGTTTAAGTTTAAAATCATTTCCCCTTGTTCTGTCACTACCTGATTTTGTAAAAAGTCCTTCTCTAGATTTCCTGGAGGCCCCTTTTAGGTACTGGGAGGCTGCTATAAGGTGTCCCCTGAGCTTTTTCTTTTCCAGTCTGATCAACCCCATTTCTCTGTCTTCTGTATCAGTTTCAGTCAAGAAACTGATGTAGAAACTTACCTGTTGATTATTTGATGTAATCACAGTTATTATTTGAAAGGAAAGGATGTTCTTACAAAAGTCTTTTCCTGAAATTACAAGAAAATTGTCTTCCTTAACATTATCTACAACTGCAAAAGCCAGAACCTTTAATAAGAAAAAAGCCTGTGTTATTGGCTGTCAATGGCATTTTTAGTAAATGGAGTTGGGAGGTGTGTTTAAAATAACAGCGCATTAAGCTATATACTTCCTTAAAGAACCTGTACTTGAAGACTTCAAACTTGTGTTAATTGAACAATTATGGAATTTGTTGAATGACTACTGATATGTTTGCTCTTCATATTAGAATTTATAATGAGGGGCACTGTAGAGAACCCACAGTTATTGAAGGAGTCAGGGGAATGTAGCAGTAAACATTGTAAAAGTCCAGCAGCCCTTGGATATGTTAGTAGGTAAGGTGGCAGGGCCACATTTTTTTGTGCTTCACAACTACCTGTAGCACTAAATCTTGCAAGTACAAATGAGATGCATCTACCAAGAGACATGATACCAGGAAAAATTCAGTTCAATTCTTCCTGTTTGTTCCAGTCATTAGAACAGCTGACAGGAGTGAACTATGAGAAAGTGAAAATCAAAACTCTTTTATTATCCTGGGGGAGGGGGAAAGAATCAGTCACTAGATGGCACAAAAAAATAATTAAAGCATAGGAACAACTGATAAGGAGTTTGATAGGTATTATGTCCTTGGGGGAATAGGTCTACTAAGAGATATTAATAATGATGACAGTTTCCTTTTGGTAATTTCTTCTCCAACAACCAGTGGCAAAAGGCGGCAGTCCAAGGTACAGCAGGAAAGAAGCCAGTTAAAGATTCAGGACAGAGTCACTTAGAAAACCAAAGATCAATAGAGCACCATGCAGCCAAGACATATGAAGGGGTACTGGTAGTTGGAGAAAGACCTTCTGCTCATTCACAGGTTGTAACTGAAGAAACAAAGAAGCAATATAAAGTAGGACACAATAGGGTGGAAGTCCCTCAGTAGGAATAACACAAAAACACACTGTGAACAACAGGTGCTATAAGCTGGAAACTGAAACCCAGGCTCATCCTGGGCAGAGCAAGGATGACCAGCAGGGATCTTGGA